CCAGTCTTTACTCCCACCAAAAGAGTGTAAGAGTCCCGGTTCCTTGCCAGCACTTGACATGGTCTTTTTAAATTTTAACCATTCTAATAGGCGTGTAGTGGAATCTCGCTGTGGTTTGTGGTTGCATTTCTCTAATGACTACTGTGTTAATATGCTAATGTCAGTATATCTTCTTTGGTGAGGTGTCCATTCAAATATTTTGCCCATTACAAAATAGAGCTGTTTAAAAGATCTGTAAGTCTTTCTCTGCTAATTGCATCATCTCTTGTCATTTCTAGGTCTTTCAATTAGCTGTTTTCCTCCTGGTTGTGGATCATATCTTACGGCTTCTTCACATGTCTGGAAATTACTGATCGTAAGCTAGCTATGGGTGCTACATAGTTGAGTGTTTAGACTCTGTTGCTTCTTTAATACAGTGTGGAATTTTGCTCTGGCTCGTGGTGAATTTGTAGATCATCTTGATATGTTCAAGGGCTGTTTTAGAGCTGTGTCAGTGTAGGTCTAGAATAGCCTCTCTGGGGTCTCTATTGAGTACCCAGGGCCAATGACATTTCTCCACTCTGACTGGCCAGTCTTTGAACATGTCCCAGTCCTATGTAGGCTGCAGTACTTGCTCAGTCCTGCAGCATCTTGGATCAGCCTCATGGTGTCTTGTCCTAAGATGAGTAGCCTGATATTTAGACAAAGACTCAAGGGCACCCCCCCCCCCACCGCCCGCAGATATCTGGAAATCTCCCTGCATAACTCCCTTCTCTATATACCTTGCCCTCCACTTTCCAACTGTCTTACTAGTCCAAACTTCCAACTTCTTTCTCCTCAGCTCAGCAAGACCACTGTTCTCCGTTTGGCTTCCTCCTTGTGACATAGTCTAAAAAGGGCCCGCAGAAAGGGTATCATGGGACACCTCTCTTAGGGATCACAGACTTGTGCTGCCTTTTGCCCAACTTCTGGAAACCGTAATTCCATGTGCTTTTGTGTAGTGTTATAGTTGTTCACTGTAGGAGAGCTGGTCTACTAGCAAGTTAATCTGCTGTGGCCAGGAGCAGAATCCCAAATGTGCTGTAATGAGGAATTTCCTTTAGAAAGGCAGGTCAGGGAGGACCTCTCCAAGGAACGGATGATGACTAGGGTATCAAGCTGTGGAGCTCCTAACCGGTTCCTCTGAGATGAAGGGGAAAAAAGGGTTATTTCAGTAAATTTAAAGACAATTTGCTTTGTTTTTGGTTTTCAGCAAAATCATAAAGTTAAATGTGTTTAGAGCTGGTTCCCAGTAGGGTCCCCTAGCTGTTTACATTCAGGATGTGATATGTTTTTAAACTATGTGTTCTGTTAGTCCATAAAGTAAAAACCCTAATGTGGTTAATGAAGTGTCTTGAAGGAACATTCAGAGTCGGTTAAGCGTCCGACTTCAGCCAGGTCACGATCTCGCGGTCCGTGAGTTCGAGCCCCGCGTCGGGCTCTGGGCTGATGGCTCGGAGCCTGGAGCCTGTTTCCGATTCTGTGTCTCCCTCTCTCTCTGCCCCTCGCCCGTTCATGCTCTGTCTCTCTCTGTCCCAAAAATAAATAAACGTTGAAAAAAAATTTTTTTGAAGGAACATTCAGCTTTGAAAACGATGTCCCTCTCTGGCAAAAAGGAGAATTAAGCCCACCAAACATTAAAAGCACCAGGTAGCGCCAGACTCTCATTTTGTGTCAAGAGGTGAGTTGACTGGGTTCGGACATTCACTGTGCCCGCTACAGTTGCCACTCTGGGCCAGGTCCTTGACTCCTCTGGGCTGTGTGTGTATTTTTTCCTCTATAAACCAAGGCATTAGACTAGCTTCTTTCTGGCTTCAAGGAAACGAGGAGAAGGCTTTTGTTCCATGTACCTGGTTTTAGAATCAGTCTGTCAGATGTGGCTCTGAGCCTTGGAACTGCTCCCTCTGGAGCCCCAGTTTTCTCATCTTAAAAGCTGCATTAACGTTAAGGTTATTAGGAGGACAAATGATAGCAAGCAGTGAACTTAAGCCTGGGGCCTGGCACGACATCGAAGTCTGTGGTAGGCCACACAAAAAAGAAACTTCTAGAGTAATGAGTGGTAAGTAAGCATTATATGGCCTGTGGGTACCGGGTTGGTAGTTCTACAAGTTCAGGCTGATGGCCGTGTGTAGCCTTGGTGAATGTAAGGCTTAAATAAGAAAGGAGTAACTCCAAGCACTTGAAAAGTGAAGGAGGCAATGATTTTTACGTGTGTATGGATCAAACGGAATTGTTTCACGGAACATGTACACAAGCGATTCCCTTAGGGCCGGAAAACGCAGCCAACAGCTGTTTCTATTTTGGTCTTCAACTTGCTCTCTCCCTCTGCCAGCCTCCTAGCTCCACCAGATTGGCTGGAGGTCATCCAGGGGGACTTTGTTAAGCTTCCTTTCCTCAGGGAAGTAGGAACCCACTGTGCTTTCTCTGTAGATTCTCAGAGATTCCTCTGTTCTTGACTTCACGTCTTAATGGCCATCACTTCCCAGATGGCTCAGAGCTGGTCCCTGGAGTTTTGAGCTATTGTCACAGGCTCTGACTGCTCTTCTCTCATGGGGGAAAGGAATCAATAGGGGAAAACAGGCAAAGTCTTGTAACAGACTCTGTTGTTTGCTGCTGACCCAGTATCGATTATCCTTCCGTTTTACTAACTCAACCTCACCTTGGTTCAGGGTGGCCTGCTAAAATATAGACCTCAGTCTTTGTGGTTAAGGTCAAACGGTCTGTCTAATGAGATGTAAGAGCAGGCTGCCTGGGGAGGCTTTTGGGGATGCTCCTTATAAAGGGGTTGACTCAACAGCCACGCCTTTTGCACTTTCCTTTCACCTTTTCTGGAGGTGGAGGACACTTCTTATAAACGTGGTGCTAAAGGCCATGCTTGGCCTGAAAATGAAGGAACAGACAGCAAGAAATAGGGCAGGTTACTGGTAGCCCCAGGGAGCTGCCAGACCAGTCCAGGAGGATGACCACTCCTGGACTCCTTCTTCTATGACAATAATAAAACCCCTGCTTTATTTAAGCCACTGTTTAGTTGGTTTTTCCATTATTTTCAGTATGCAAGACTAAGTGAACCTCCTTTAAGTGTGAAATTGAGATAAATATTTGTGTCTATACATGGATAAACTCTTTGGCATAGGAGGTACGTAAGCAAAAACTCAATGGTCATTACTCAGGGATGCCTAAGGGAGTCCTCCAGGAAGTGGGGAGTTGAATTTGTCAGAAAAGCAGCACATTAGCCTATAAAGAAAATCATTTGAGGGGTGCCTGGCTGGCTTAGTTCATAGAGCATTCAACTCTTGATCTTGGGATTGTGAGTTCAAGCCCCATATTGGGTGTAGAGAGTACTTAAAAAATAAATCACAACTAAAAAAAATCATTGGAGATAAAGGTGGCTTCTGGCACCTCAAAGTGAGATTCTAATGATGGTGAAATAAAATTTCTTTATTATTTTATCACTTAAGGAAGCTACAATTGATGTATGTGATATATTTCTGCTTCCCACATTTTTTCAAATGCATGAAGATTTAAAAAGAAACTTGTAAAAAAAACTCTGCCAATTTAGGAAACAGAAGTGTCATACAGTGTATTAAGTACACCTTAATTTAAAAAAGGGGTTGTTGGGGCACCTGGGTGGCTCAGTCGGTTGGGCGTCCGACTTCAGCTCAGGTCACGATCTCGTGGTCCATGAATTCGAGCCCCGCGTCGGACTCTGGGCTGATGGCTCGGAGCCTGGAGCCTGCTTCCGATTCTGTGTCTCCCTCTCTCTCTGCCCCTCCCCTGTTCATGCTGTGTCTCTCTCTGTCTCAAAAATAAATAAACGTTAAAAAAAAAAATTAAAAAAAAAAGGGGGGGGTTGTTTCAGGGCACCTGGGTGGCTCAGTCGGTTAAGCCTCTGACTCTTGATTTTGGTTCAGGTGGTGATCTCAGGGATAATGGGATAGAGCCCCATGTTGGGCTCTGTGCTGGCAGCATGGAGCCTGCTTGGGATTCTCTTGCCCCCTCTGTCTTTGCCCCTCCCCTGCTCACACGTGTGCTTGCTCTCTCTCTCTTTCTCAAAACAAATAAACTTAAAAAGATGGATTGTTTCATGTCTACTCTTAGGGGACTTCTAATTAGTCATGACAAGTTCAACACATGTTTATCTTGATTCCTTCTTGGAACCTCACTAAAATTAAAGAAATAAAAATACAGAAACCCACAAAGACAAAGAGAGGATAAGAGGTGAGAGAGGCAGGCAAGAGAAGTTGAGAAGTTTTTACAGAAGATGGAGAAGGGATGGACAAGAAGGGAAATTAGTGGAGGAGAAGAACATAAAAATTAGTGCCTGCAACCTAGAGCTAACATACTTAATGGTAAAATATAGGCTTCCTGCCTATGGTTGGGAAGGAGACAAGAATGCCTGATACTGATTTTTCTACTCCTATTCAACATTGTATTGGAGGTACAATGAAACTTAAAATAATACCATTTACAATAATAACTCAAAACCACAGATGCCTAGGAACAAACCCGTTAGATGTGTTTTTTTTTTAATTGCTTTGTAAAAACTATATGATATCATTAAAAGAAACTAAGAATATTGAACTAAATGGAAGGAATTACCATGTTTGTGGTTGGGAAGAGAGAATAAAGAGACAATTTTGTAAAATTGTAATTCTTCCCAAATTAATTTATAGGTTCAGTGCAATTCCAATCAAAATCCCAGCAGGCCATGTTGTGGAAATTGTCAAGCTGATTCTAAACTTACATGGAAATGCAAAGGGTCAGCAGTAGTGTATAAACGGGCAAATTTATTCTAAAATCACAATTACTATAATGTTGGTACAAGGTGAATCAATAGAGTAGTAGAAAAGAATAGAATATTCAGGAGTAAACTCACATATATAAGGACCCTGAGAGCAGTGAAAGAAACACAATTTTTCAATACAAATGGTGTTGTGTCAATTGGATATCCATATGGGAATAAAATGTGTCTTGATTCATACCTCACACCATATTTAAAAAGGCAGTTCCAAGGACATTGTAGGGAAAGGAAAGCCACAATGCTAGAAGAAAAGACAGGCACAAAAGTCACTAAGTATATGGGAAAATATTGAAGTTTTGGATTTACATTAAAATTAAGAACTTCTAGGGGCGCCTGGGTGGCTCAGTCGGTTGAGTGTCCAACTTCGCTCAGGTCACGATCTCACGGTCCGTGAGTTCGAGCCCCGCATCAGGCTCTGTGCTGACAGCTCAAAGCCTGGAGCCTGCTTCGGATTCTGTGTCTCCCTCTCTCTCTGGCCCTCCCCCCATTCATGCTCTGTCTCTCTCTGTCTCAAAAATAAATAAATGTTAAAAAAAAAAATTAAGAACTTCTAGGGGCACCTGTCTGGCTCAGAGGGTAGAACATGTGACTCTTGATTGCCAAGTCGTTAGTTCGAGCCCCACCTTGGGTGTAGAGTTTACTCAAAAAGGAATAAAAACATACAATCTTTTTTTAAAAAAATTAAGAACTTCTGTTCATACAAAGACTCCATTATGTTGGTCAAAAGGGAAGCTTTTAAAGAATCAGAAAAGATACTTGCAATACATATAATTGGCCGAGGGCTTATGTCAAGAACATACTGTTTCTTCAAATCCACGAGGAAAAGGGCACAAGCTAGTTAACAAGAGACTCGCTGATGTTAAATAACTTCTTCAAAGGCGGAACAATATACAGTAGCCTCCCTTGACCTTCAGTTCCGCGCTTTCGGTGGTCTCGGTTACCTGGACGACCGCAGCCGGAAGCCGGTGATCGGCCTCTGACGTCTCTGACGCCTCTGACGCAGCGTCAGAACGTAGATGATAGTCGGGCGCTAAGTCACGCTGTGACGTCATTCTCCTCACTCATCCCTCTGGCCAGCGCTGTATCATCTCGCGTTGTCGCAAGAAGAAAGGTGAGTCCAGACGACCTTGAACAACACGGGGGTCAGAGGTGCCGAACAGCGCAGTAAAAAATCCACCTGTAACTTTTGACCTCCCCCAATATAACTCCTAATAGACTGCTGTTGACCGGAAGCCTTACCGAGAACACAGTCGGTGAACACATGTTTTGTATATGTATTACATACTGTATTTTATAAGCAAGCAAGCTAGAGAAAGGAAATGTTAAGTCGTAAGGAAGAGAGAGTACATGGACAGTATTATACTGTAATAATAAAAAATAAAACCCGCGTAGAAGTTTGACCCTGTAAGTTCAAACCTGTGTTTCCCGCCCCCGCCCCCGCCCGCCCGGCCGCCCCCCCCCGGCCCGGGCCGCGAGGGCAGCCGGGCTTCCTCCCTTCCTTCTTTCCTTCCTTCCTCTCTTCTGTTTATTTCTTCTTGAGACAGACACATACACACAGAGTGCGAGCAGGGCAGGGGCAGAGACAGAGGGAAACAAAGAATCCGAAGCAGGCTCTAGGCTCCAAGCTGTCAGCACTGAGCCGGAACTGGGGCTTGAACTCACAAACTTGAAATCATGACCTGAAGTCAATCGCTTTACCGACTGAGCCATCCAGGCGCCCCTAAACCTATGTTTTTCAAGGGTCAACTGTACAATAAGATTTTGAGAGAGAGAGAGAGAGAGAGAGACCACATTCAGGTACCTTTTATTACAGTATGTTGTTATAATTGTTTTATTTTATTATTGTTGTTGTTAATCTCTTACTGCGCCTAATTTAGAAATTAGACTTTATCCCAGGTTGTTATGTTTAGGGGAAAAAATGTGGTACATAGAGGGTTCAGTACCGTCCGTGGTTTCAGGCATCCTGGGGGCCTTGGAAACGACCCCTTATGGCTAAGGAGGGACTACTGTAGCGGTGTTTCAAAGCAGAGGCTCTAGACTAAGGTCATCTGAGTTCAGATCCTCGCTGTGCCTTTTATTAGCCTGTGGCCTGGCTGTAAATTTCATAACCTCACATGCTTCAGTGTCCTGCTAATAATGATACCCGTATCTTCAGGCTGTTGTGAGGCTTAAATGAGCTAATATAAACAAAGCTCTGAGAACCATTACTGGCCCTTTGTACTAATTGCAGCAATCCTGATCACAATTATCAAGGATTAAACCTTTATTTGTCTTCATCCAAAACTCATCTCTCACCACTTACACTATCTGGCCTTTGGGAAATGTTTGCTGTTCAGCTTCCAAGTCACTCAAACCTCGAATAAGGCGCTGGTCAACCATAACTCTTACTAAACTTTGAATAGTTATGTGATTTCTTATAAATGTACTCGCTCCTTAAGAAGTATTGGAGTAATAAAGAGATGATGAAGGAGAATTCAGCTGTATTTAATACTGCATGTCAGACACTAGTCTAAGCACTTAACACACTATTTCCCCTTTAATGGCTGCATGAGGTTTTCAAAGTAGAAACTATTATTATCCTCATTTTGTTTTATATTTTTTAAGTTTATTTATTTATTTTGAGAGAGCGAGCATGGGTGGGGGAGGGGCAGAGAGAGAGGGAGATTGAGAGGGAGTAAGAGAAAATCCCAAGCAGGTTCTGTGCTGTCCGTGTAGAGTCCAGGGCGGGGCTCAATCTCACGAACCGTGAGATCATGGCCTGAGCCAAAATCAAGAGTCGGATGCTTAGCCGACTGAGCCACCCAGGCGCCCCTAATATCCTCATTTTAAATGGAGGAAACTGAGGCACAAAGATTTAAGAAACTTGCCCAAGGTCATACAGCTGCTTAGCCATACTCTGTAGATCACTGCTCTGTTGATCTGAGAATGCCATAAACTTTCTATAGGAGTAGTCAGGTATCAATGAACTCATTTAAAAAGTTAAGTATTTACATAATGACATGTAACACTGTTCTTTAGCATTCTCAGGGATGCAGAATATACTCATAAGATATAATTCAAGCTATTTATGTTAATAAGGAATTCGTGCTATATGTATGTAAATAAGCTGTAATAATGTATTACGTATGAGTAGAAAAACACATGCAGGCAATACACTAAAACAGTAATAGCAGTTATTTCCATTTCGTGGGATCAGAGCTGGTTTCGTTTTCTTTTATAAGCTATTTCACATTTTTCAATTTTCTATCATAATTTTACTGCAGTGTTACTGTTATAAGAAAAAATACTAGAGAAAATTGTATAGTGCCACAATTTCCAAATGCTGATTGAAAACTAACAAATACCTGTCTTCAGTCCTGCTGAGTCTTTGTGACCCCCTCAGTGGCTCAGCTGTCTTTCAAAGCCAAGTTTTGGGCAAAAACTCTGTTTCTGAATGTCAAGGTTATTTCCATATTTAATCTCATATTGGGACAGACTTCATGGATCTGATCTTCCACTTTCTGCTGTGAAACGGCAAAGCCACTTCTTTGTGTTGCTCTTTGAGAATGCTAATGGCCCGTGTGTGGGAGGTGTCATACCAGGCTAGGGGAAGGCACTTTCTTTGGGCAAGTGACAATGTCAGAGCAACAGAATGTCCTAGTTCAATCTGTGGGCAAAAGACTTCCTGCGTGAATTTGAGATTGATGACGGATGGCAGGAGATGTGGGGAGTTGGGCTGGGCAGTCAAGTTTTGGTCAGGAAGGGAAACTTTGGGGGTGCCTGGGTGGTTTAGTTGGATAAGCTTCAGAGTCTTGGTTTTGGCTCCATTCATGATCCCAGGGTCATGGTCATGGGATTGAGCCCCAAGTCGGCCTCCTCACTGGGTGTGGAGCCTGCTTAGTATTCTGTCTCTCTCCCTCTGCCTGTAGCCTTTGCTCACGTGTGCACATGCACGTGCTCTCTCTCTCTCTCTCTCTCAAAAAAAAAAAAAAAAAGGTAAATTTGGAGAAATGTTCTGAGATGGGAGAGTGATGCCGGGGAGCTAGGTTTGTGAGGGAAGGAGACAGGTCTGGGTAGACTCCAGGGTAGCAAGGTTATCCGGGGTGCTCCATAAAGGACCTGGAAGTGTTTGGTAGGCTCCTGGTGATACCCCCAGGAAACCCAGCATAAGGCCCGGCAGGGAAGAGGCGAAGACTCTGTCTTGACTGTAACAGATGTGAACCGTGGTTATGGACAGAGCAGGGAATTTGAGTCTCTGACACTTTCCGTTTCCCTGCCAGTCACATGGTCCTGGTGCAGACAAGCCAATGGAGATCATAGCCATCCATCCACCAGCTCAGTTCTCCCCATCCTTAGCACCTGCTGTTCCCACAATCCAAGGCAAGATTCACACTGTCTTCCTCTTCCTCTCTCCTCCCTCTCCAGGCTCTGACTGTTCTGAGGCTTTTCTGAGTCTGTCTGGCTATTTGTTTTGTGTTGTTTTTTAATGTGAAATTTATTGTCAAATTGGTTTCCATACAACACCCAATGCTCATCCCAACATGTCTGGCTATTTGTTTTAACCATATTACACATTTTCTTTGAACAACCCTGCCTCTGCAAAAGAACAGGGAGAGGAGTAGGGCAGATTGAGAAACGTGAAGGAAAAACGGTCAGAATTTGGCAGAAGCCAGGACTTGGGGAGAGACGTGAGGTAAGATGACCTGGAGGTTTTTCTGTTAGATGAGTAGCTGGGGCCTTAGGTAGCCATATGGTCATCCGAGGCCTTGCTTCTTTCTGTTCTCACCTTAGCGGCACACGCTGGTTCATCCATAGCTGCAGGGTCTGGCCTCTGGGCCCACCTGCTGGTGGTTGACAAGAGTCTGGGCATTTGGTAGAGAGAAGTTCTCTACAGAACTTTTCATACAGTGAATGACTTTCTTACTCACCTCTACTCACACACAGTGAAATTTCTCAATATTGCAGGTGACAATGTTTCAGGAAATGAATGACAAAACTAAGATTTATATGGCCTGCTTTGGAACCTGGGTATTTTCCCTCTCTCGGAGTCAGGCATTCGTGTCCGAAATGGGTGATCTACCGAACAAAGATTGACAGGCGCTGGGCCTTAGTGCCCCACCACAGTGTGCCATTTAAGTTGACTGAGCAAATTAGCTCACGGGGCATCCCAGAAGGTCTGCTTTGGCTGACCTACCGAGACTATAGGGAATTGATTGCACTATTCTGTCTACTTGTGTGTATGTTTGAAAGTTTCCAGGTTAGAAAGTTCGAATTTTCCCTTGCAGAATGGCCGCAAGCCCTTTGGAGATGGGGCTTAGGGCAAGTCGAGTTGGAGATAGCTTTAGTTGGGGTTTAGTGGGATACATTCGTGTTCTTTTGTAGTTTATTTTGTGTCTAGTAGAGTTCTCTCTATCCCTCTGGGGCAGGCATGGCTTTGAAAAACACCCCCGCTGCCTAACGTGCTGACTTAACGGGCATCAAGACGCACAGGTGTTGTTCAGAAGTCAAATCATGATATTAATGTGTCTGTCCCCTGGCACAGAGCACCAGTACGTGAGAGTCAAAGAGAAGGTTTGAGAAGCAATCGGTGCAAAATCCTCCTTTTCATCAGATGGGTAAAATCATATTCTCTTTTTGTAATATTTGATTCTTTGATACCTTATTAAAATTGGAAGTTCTCTCTTATCAGGAATATAAGAGAACGCAATTATACATGTACTGTATATTTTAAATCTTTTTAAACATAAGGATTGTTTGAAATCAAATTTAGAAGATTGTTTTTTTATTAAAAAAAAAAACCTATTTGGGGCGCCTGGGTGGCGCAGTCGGTTAAGCGTCCGACTTCAGCCAGGTCACGATCTCGCGGTCTGTGAGTTCGAGCCCCGCGTCAGGCTCTGGGCTGATGGCTCAGAGCCTGGAGCCTGTTTCCGATTCTGTGTCTCCCTCTCTCTCTGCCCCTCCCCCGTTCATGCTCTGTCTCTCTCTGTCGCAAAAATAAATAAACGTTGAAAAAAAAAATTTAAAATAAAAAAAAAAAACCTATTTGTTTAATATATTCAACACAAGGACTCAACCAGAGACTTAATTTCAAAAATGACAGCACAGCTTAAGATACAGAGTCCTAGACAGAAATGAAGGAAAGGACAGACTATCTACAGAGGAAATAAAAAGACAATACAAGGAGAGAGGCTAGAGAGTCAGGGTTCTTGGCTAGAGACCTGCTTTGAGTAGGTTTCTTGCAGGTATTTCTTTAAAAAAATTTTTTTGAAGTTTATTTATTTTGAGAGAGAGAGAGAGAAACAGAGCACATGAGCAAGGGAGGGGAAGAGAGAGAGAATCCCAAGCAGACTCCATTGCTGTCAGCACAGAGCCCAACATGGGGCTCGAACTTGAGCGATGATATTGTGACCTGAACCAAAGTCAGGAGCCTGCTGCTTAACCAGCTGAGCCACCCAGGTGCCACTCTTGCAGGAATTTCTTAAAGGCTATAGGGTCTTTCCAGAGCTTGGCAGCACGGGTGTTCAAAGGGCTCTCGGTGTTGGCTTTTCCCAGCAGGCTCTCGATGGACAGCAGGGTGGTCTATCAGGATGTCCAGGCAGATGCTACCCTGGGTGTCCACACTGGGTGGTAGCAGGGCGTGAGGAACTTGACCATGGGTGCATCGTAAGGATAGCCACTGGCAGACTCCAGGCAGAGCTTATACCTCAGGTCTTCATATACTGTGTCAACTGCCCCGTGAATGGTCCCCAACCATTTGAAAAGGTTGTCTGATTCAGGGAGGGCAGAAATCCCTTTGTCACCCGACGTCATGAAGGTCATCAGCTCCTGCTGTAGCGTCTTGCCCACGGGGCCCCGGGTGGTGACCCCACTGGGCTCAGCAAAGTTGTGGGTGGTAGCGACACTGGCAGTGGCTGGGTCTCAGTTCTGGGAAGCCATCCAGGTGGCACCAGCAGGGAGACGTAAACTCAGCACGACTACAGCCCAGATTTAGAAGGTTCTCTTTTTGTGGAGCCCAGACTTCTAACAGGATTACAAACACCAAAGAAGCCTGTTTGTGAATACACAGATTTTATGCATTTTATGCATACAAACTAAAAATAATTTAAAAACTGAGATCAGTCATCCTAGAAGGAAGAATGATTATTTTTCTATTTTCTCTGTAGAAAGTAACAGTATAAAATAATTGTAATATGAAAGGCTGATCAAAAAGTAAGCAGCCAAAAAATGTACAGGTAGAAGTATTATAGGGGTATATTAACAGTGAAATAATTTAAAATGTGATTAATTGTATTTTCCAGCCTTTAAAAATTGTAATTTGATGTAACCTCTTTTCCCATTCTAAATATATATTTATTTTTATATTTAATTTTTATTTATAATATTATATTCCTTCTCTTTAAGAACCCCCTCCGTTCCCGTCCCCATTGTATAAATGTCAGGTGCTACAGTGGCCAGTCCTGCTTAGTTTCCTTCACTGATGCCTCCTTTTGTCTCTGATTTCCAAACTTTGGAGAGCCCCAGGGCTCAGTTCTTAGACTTTTCCTTGTCTGGATTAACTCCCCAGGTATATGGGTAGTCAGGGTTTAACCAGAGAAGCAGAACCACAATGGAATTGGGATTTATTGTTGGGATAAGACCTTATACCATTGGAAGGAAGGTCTGACATGGGGCAGGAAGAGATCTGAGCAGAATTCCTGAGTAGGAAGCACTGGGGTGACGGACAGAGTTGGGACTCCCAGAGGCACATCCACCTGCTACTGTGGGACTACAGCAGAGAGATGGAGAAGTCTAGGGAAGGCCGTTGCCTCTGAGTCTGGTGGTGGGCTCGGGGCCACTGTTGGCCAAGAGGGCCACCAGTTGGGAAGAGGAGCTGGATGAGAGGGGAGAGAAGAGCTGGAGCCACCAGTGCCTAAGTGTCTGTCTCTGTCCGCATCTATTCAAACACCGTCAGGGAGTAATGATGGCTGCTTCACTCCCGCCTCCCAGATTCATGCACATCTCTTTTTTGGTCAGTCTTAATATGGAACCATACAAGAAAAAAGATTCTGGAATATACTTCTGTTTGGCCAAGAGGGCACAGTTCAAAAGCACATGCTAGGTAATCTCACTTTGTCTTGTGGCTTTAATTCCACACATACTCTGATGATTCACAAATTTCTAATCCCTGTCTGGCCTTCTCTGGAATCCAGATTTATGTCTAACTCCCTCCTCAAGCCACCACTTAGATATTTAATAGATGTTTCAAACCTAACATATAAGAAAAATGAGCTCCTAATCTGCTTTCCTGAACCTGTTCTTTCCAGAATCTTCCTCTGGTGCTCTGGCTAAAAATCTCGGGATTGTACTTTACTCCTCTCTGTCCCACCCAACAAGTGATTGATCAGAAAATCCCATTGGCTCTTCCTTCAAGAAATATCCATGACTTACTACTTCTACTGTAGAAGCCCCCCCTTCCAAAAGATTCATACCCGAACCCCTAGACTCTGTGAATATTACCCAAAATGGCTTTAAAAAGGGGGTCTGGAGCATGGATAAAATTAATGATCTTGAAATGGGGAGATCATCCACATGAGACCTAAATACAATCACATGTATCCTTAAGGGGGAGACAGAGGGAGATTTGGGATCTCCCCCAGAGGAGAAGGGGGATATGAAGATGGAGAAGAGAGAGGTGAGAAGATGTCAGCCTGGAAGATTGGAAAGATGTGGCCACAAGTCGAGGAATGACACAGCTACCAGAAGCGCTCAGAGGCAAGAAGTGGAGTCTAGAGAACACACAGCCTTGCTAACACCTGGCTTGTGGTCCAGTGATACTGACTTTGGTCTTCTGGACTCCAGAACTGCGACAGAGGAAGTTTCTGTTGTCTCGAACACCCAAGTGTGTGATAATTTGTTACAGCAGCCACCAAAACCAGTTTACCACTTCCTCTCTGACAGCCATGTTGCAGAGTGCCACAGAGTGTCTGGATTATTCCAGTTGCCTCCTGTCTCACTGACCACTCTGCTTCTACCATTGTCCCACTCACTGTGGTCTAATCTCCGCACAGCAGCCACAGTGTACCTTTAAAAATGTAATTCATCTTTTGAAACCCTTCCATTGTTTCCCTTCTCAGAGTACAATATACTGTTTTCATAATCAACTTACAGAGCTCTATTTAACTTGGTCCCTTTTTACCTGTCTGACTTTCTCTCTGACATTCCACTTTCATACCATTAGCTTCCTTGATGTTCCTTGAGCATACAAAGTGTGTCCCTGCCTCAGGACTCTTGCACTTGCTCTTCCATCTACTTAGATTGACCTCCTGCCTCCCATAGCCACCTGGCTTACTTCTTCACTTGATAGATGAGACCTTCTCTGTCCACTCTTTTAAAAATACCAGCCATCCAACCTCACCCTCACATTGTAATGCTCTTCCTTTCTTACTTCATCCACAACCATATCAAAGTCTGACATACCTATTCTTGTTTAGTTGTTTAATTCTTCACCCTCCCCCATTAAAATGTGAGCTCTGTGAGGGCAGGGGTATCTATCTGGATTTTTTTTTTTTCTACCAGCATTGTATCCCCGATACCTAGAAAGGGCTATGATACATAATGGATACTGAATAGTATTTACTGAAGGAATGAATTATCCAAGAATGCTCAGTTTTACATCACATTTTACTTCATTAAAATTTCTTGCACTGAGTTGTAATAAGCAATCACCCACCTCATTCCTTGGTTTCATTAATATTCTCTGGAGATGGTAATGCTTCCACTTTTCCAAATGTCACTCTGGTCAGCAGCTGAACCATATGTTGGATTCAGTCATAATGTAAATGGGACTACCATGCATTGTAGAAAGGAAGGCCTTCCCCCCATTTCTGTGTCCTCCTCATTCCCCTGGTTTAAACTGGAAGGAAGGGCTTCAGTGGGAATTTGGTATTCCTTTAAGGGGTTTTCCCAATCCAACAGTCTGATCCCGGCTGTGGGTTTAATAAGCACCATTCAGCGCATCTATCTGCCTCTTCCAATTCTCCCTCCCCCAGTCACTTCCTGTCACAGCAACCCTTTCAAAATTAAACTCCAATTCTAAAACAAATGAAGCAAAGGCAGGAAGGGGGGATGAATCACAGCATATGGGAACAGTTTTGTTTGAAAGCATGATCAGCATTCTTTGCAAACAAGCTGTGACCATATGTGGCAGGGTGGGTATAGACTGAGCTTTAAAATACAAGTGATAGGGGCGCCTGGGTGGCGCAGTCGGTTAGGCATCCGACTTCAGCCAGGTCACGATCTCGCGGTCCGGGAGTTCGAGCCCCGCGTCGGGCTCTGGGTTGGTGGCTCGGAGCCTGGAGCCTGGAGCCTGTTTCCGATTCTGTGTCTCCCTCTCTCTCTGCCCCTCCCCCGTTCATGCTCTGTCTCTCTCTGTCCCAAAAATAAAAATAAAAACGAGGAAAAAAAAAATTTAAAATACAAGTGATAAACTGTGATAAGTGTCTGAGTTAGAAAGCTCATTAATGATTGGTTTGACAGTAAGAAGTGATACCTTGAAAGAAGTCTCTCTCTCTCTGTCTCTCTCTCTCTCTAAGGAGATAGATATTTCTGTGCCTTTTTATATATTGAAAGATTGCAAAGAGGTGGCCTGTAGTGAGTTAAAATTCTTGCCATGTATTAGCATAGAAGCCATGGACAATTGGTTAGGACTTGGCTAAAACCAAGGTCACTTGAATTCAAATTTATTGATATACCAACAGAAGTTATTTTGAGAACCAGGTCTGTTGCCTCTAGGTGCTCATCCCTAAGGAAGAGAGAAAAGAGACGTAAAAGATGTGTATGTGTTTCTTTTATTGATTGATTCATTTTAATAAATATTTTTGAGTTCAGACCAAAAGCCAGGCACAGGGTTAAGCCCTAGATATTTGGTGAAGAGCAAAGATCCTGGGTATTGTACGGTAAGCAAAAATCATCACAGTTCCTGCCTTCATGAAGCTTACAGTCTAGAGGGAACATAGTAATCAAATAATCGCACAAACAAATGAAAAATAACAACTGTGGTTTGGGTTACCAAGGAGAACAACAGTATGGGTTCTATGAGAGACTCTGATGGGAAGCCTGACCTGGTCTGAGAAGTCAATAATGATGGTTGACTTACAGCTGAGAGACAGGTTATTTAAGAGGGGACAGGGGTGTGCTCAGAATTCAGGGCAGAAAGGGAGATGTGCACAGTTGCCCTGGGACGGGGGGGTTGCAATGTATTCAAGGAGCTATGACAAGTACAGTGAAGGACCATGAATCTGGAGCTTGAAAGTAAGAAGTCAAGAGACAGAAAAAAAGAGGTAGGAAGGGGCATGACTACCCAGTGCCTTGTGGGTTATGTTAAGGATTTTGATTTCATTCTCAAGAAGCCATTGGGAAGGGGGTTGGGGCAGCTAATCAAGAGCACAGCCCCCCCCCCCCACTCTCTCTATAGCCCTCCCCCTAACCTTTCTCTTATGCCCCCCTCCCCAGCCGAGCTCTCTCTTATACGCCTCTGTTTTGGGTCACAGACAATGTGCTGTAGGGAGGTACAAGGGGTAAAAAAAAAAGGTGAACCAGAAACTTACGGATCTCCTCTCATAAGGCTTACAGTCTAGGATGCAACATGCGAGATAAAGATAGTTCATTAATAAATACTTTCAATTTACATAATGTAACAAAAGAACAACATAGGAGTCTCTGAGATCAAATGACAGTGGTCCTCTCCTTGGGTAGAACTAACTGGAGAACCTCAGGGAAGCTTTCTTCTGAAGGTTAGGTTGACTAAGTGTTATTGATATGATTATTGGAAATTTCAATTCGCCTTGTATCTTCTACTCCCAATCCCTGTTTCGTTAGGTGACCTTGACTTTCATGCTTTCTCCCTCTGTATATAAATGGCAGGGAGTAGGTAGCAAATCGCTTGTGTTTCTGGAAAATGCAAAAGCCCATTTATTCTGAGTGCCAACTCTGGGACATACACGGTGGTAAATGAAACAATAAACTATCAGATCATTGGGCAGCTCTGATTTTGTTCTGTCTATATATAATCCACCAGGAGGGTAGTAGTATTGATATTTCTAAATTAACACCCTTTTCCTTACTAAACCAATTACTTCCAACATGTTACAGTTCATCACCTCAAAATAGTTTTTTTTTTTTTTCCAATCAGTCAAAGACAGAAAATCCATAAGTAGTTTATCAGTGTGTGATGCTGTTTGCATTTCAGTGCTGCTCCCAATTTGGATTTTCATCATTCTTTGTACTCTTAGCCCAATCCCTTCACAAATTAATGTATTTGTGTGAAAACAAGCAGCAATTCTTGTTTATAAACGTAGTCTGGAAATCAGCCAGAGCGTACTCACTAGAAACTTCGGGTGTGGTTGATTGTTCCTGAAGATAAAGCTCAATATTGTTTTTCTTCTAAATTGACCTAGCCCTTTCCTGAAACATACCAGCCTTGGCCTACGATGGAATTGTATGTGGTAATCCACAAGCAGCTATTGAGCATGGTTTGAATTCTATCTGAACCACTTGCCGTATCAGCTTAATGTACTTGATAATTCTGATTTAATTCTGTATCAATCATTTAACAGTATATATCTGGGACAAGTTACTTAAATTCTCTGAGTTTCCCTTTTATCTTTAGTAAAGTAGCAATAGTTACATCTGCTTTGCCCTTTTGGTCTAGTTGTGAAATTAAATGAGAAAGTATTTGTGATTATTCTTTGTAAACTCAGTATTTATGTGTAGGATGCCATTCTTACTACACGTGGTAGAATTGCATCACTGACCCCTAGTTCTTCACCCCATCCTGTAAGTAAGCCCTTGGACGTGTGAATTTGCAAGTCCCTTTCTCAAGAGGGAGGGTATATCTCCCTGCCTCTTGACTTTAGTTTGGATGTATCACTTGCTTTGGCCCACAGAATATGGTAAAAGTGACAGGATGCGGCTCTGAGCTGAGGTCTAAAGAAGCCAAATATGTTTCTGCTTGTTTTTGTGTGCTGTGCCAAGTTCCATGAGAAGAACACATCTCTGGTCCCAAGAAGATGAGAGGCGTGTGGAACAAAGCCACTCCAGTCTAGCTATCCCAGCTCAGCCCGGCCTATACCAGCTGACTCCCAGCTGACCTGCAGATACGTGGGTAAGTCCAGCCCAGGTCGGCAGAACACCCAGGCGAACCGTGTGAATTAAATAAATGTGTATTGTTATGTAGCACTGACGTTTTGGTGTCATTTTGAGTGTAGCATTATTGTAGTCATAACTGACTGATCTGTCACCCATCAACCATCCACCTATCCAGCTCCTTAAACGTCCTTTGGTTCACTAAGACTAAGGTATCTTCAAGGGAAAAAGACAAGAGACTTCAGTTTTGAGTAGATTTTTCCTTCTCTCCCTTCTCTTTTCTTCTTTTCCCTCTCTTTACCTAATTTCAAAAGTAAATTGTTCAAGAGTTGCAAATATGAAATTTTCCACATAGCACTCCAAATAGGCTGAATAGAAGGCTCAGTAGAGATCTAACAAATAATGTTCTAACTGGTATGTAGATGAGGAATCTCTTAGGATCACATGCTCTCTTGTTTATTGTCTGATTTATAAATAAGACTGATCCACAAGTGTATGCAAAAGGTGGAGACAGGGCCTGAAATTTCACTAAGAGCCTTAGTGTGCCACTTAGATTTGGGAGTCTTTTAGGACACCTATATGATGAGCTAACAATTCAAATTTTTTTTTTCAACATTTATTTATTTTTGGGACAGAGAGAGACAGAGCATGAATGGGGGAGGGGCAGAGAGAGAGGGAGACACAGAATCGGAAACAGGCTCCAGGCTCCGAGCCATCAGCCCAGAGCCCGACGCGGGGCTCGAACTCACGGACCGCGAGATCGTGACCTGGCTGAAGCCGGACGCTTAACCGACTGCGCCACCCAGGCGCCCCATGAGCTAACAATTCAATGTAACACACACATATTGAGTGTATACCACGCATGAGGCATAGTGTAAGGTCCTGGGGAAATAGAAATGAACAAGACATAGTAGCTCCCTCTTAATGATCCAGTAAGGGAAATGAAATGCAAATTACTCATGATACTGTATCTATTAATTCTGTAACACGCTTTTTTTGTACTTTGGAAATCAAGATGGCGTGTCATAGTTTAGTTGATAGTGGTTTTTTCATTCTTTGTGGTATAGAGGATAATGATGCAGATTATACTTGATAACTCTCTTAGAGCCACGAAAATACAGAGGTAAGTTACTATGAGAACAGCATATATACTGTGTCATAGGATCAAAAAGCAAGGAGGGATTGCTTCTCCCAGATAACCCAGAGAGAGACTTCATAGAGGAAGAAACATTTATAGAAGATGGATTTCAACAAGAAAAAGTGCTAGAATAAAGACCACTGTAGGTCAATTGGTTCCTAAACTTTCTATCACCGAGGGGTACTTTTATTGCCTGTCTCTTTCCCTGTCCCATGTTTTTACAATGATTTTGTCATTATAGGTAAGTTTACATTTATCAAGAGATACTTCACTTCTCAACTTGATAGCAAAAGCCATACATTACTGTAATCAGAATTTCTAGGGGCGCCTGGGTGGCGCAGTCGGTTAAGCGTCCGACTTCAGCCAGGTCACGATCTCGCGGTCCGGGAGTTCGAGCCCCGCGTCGGGCTCTGGGCTGA